CACAAGAAGAAAGGAAACAGCTTTCCCCTGTCACTTTGCACCTTCGTTTACCTTGTCTCCTTTCTCCAATCCCTATGTTAGATTATCTTGTGTCATGAGCTAAGCCATAGCCAGATGATTATAATTAAATAATCTCATTGCAGTAACGAAGAAAGCAGTCTGTTCCTTTCATCTTTAGAGATACCTAAAAGAAAAAAGCAAAGCAGACGCACTCAGCACAATATCAATTAGTTTGCTGTGTTCTGGGTACATTTCTTGTTACAGCATATGATATCCTTGTGTCACCCAGTAAGACTACTAAGGAACTGTTTTTCCTTTTATTTACATCTGGAGTTAAAGAAATAAAAGTCTTCTCATTTAATCGCAGTGGCAAACATATCTCATGTGAAAGATTTATACACTCCCCAAAGTACCTCTGTACATCATCTACTAATGCTACGTAGTGACTCTCGAAGTACAGTATTTCCACTTAAATTAACTAAGGCACGGCAGGATATTGTTTGGACAAGACTAGATCTATTTAAGTGAATGAGGCAAATGACAAATCTACCTGTGAGCTGTAGTACAACAGAGATTTGGCCCTTATGGGGGAGCATCCTTCCTAATTCAATGTCTCACTTGACGTTTATTTTCTGTAAGTTACAAGTTTACCCTTTAGACAGCATTATGAGAATATTCATCTTTAGCAAGATTGCAAGCCTTGGCATTATCTCCACCTTGGGCAATGATGGAACCTTATTTTCTGGTTATGAAAAGATGTAAACAAGAAGTAATTGCATAATGTGTACATTCACTGCTACTTCATAATCAATAAACAGCCAAACAAGGCATATATGACTGATAAGTGTTTCAAATAATGTGTGCTTCAATGTGACAAAATCCCCTTTCAAGCCATATGGCTGTATAATCTTTCCTTAAAAAACTGCTTTGAGTAAAATTCATCTTTGCAAAAGTTATGAGATATGGGAATACTCTGTTTTATTGCCATTTAAGTTAACTGAATAAATTAATTTAGATTCATATTCACTTTCTTATCCAAGTGGGAATTCTCCAACTTAATTCTATTCCCATCAATTTCTTGTTTCTATGATATCCACAATTTGTAATTAGCCAGAAGTGATTTGAACTGCAAGTTGGTGGAAAAGAGCATCAAAAACATCAATTGGACATATTGAATAGGATCATATTACTCAGCAGTGCCTGTCCATTACATCTCAAGAAATAATATTCATACCATTCATAAAATGTAGCTGAGTACAAATACATGATTATATAGGTATAAAAGAGCTAAAAAATATATGAAAACATGACATCTTTTACAGAATCTGATTTATTTCTACATTTTATCTCTAAATCTTTGTTCACAGACAAAGATAGAGGCATAAAGCTAGTGTTAGATAAATACAATATCATTAATGTTTTTCATATGCAAAAGAAGATATTATTTTATACCTTGCTGAAGCTTTAAATGGTTTGGACTTCTGTACCAGTTTCATCACTTACTTAATGATGAGTTGGATCTTCAGTTTCTCAGTCTGTAAAATGGTGTCAGCCTCAGTAGGTTAAAGGAGGATCAAGTGACATAATACATATAAAACACATGGACAAGCAAGCATGAAGAAGTATTGTAAAACATTTCATTTTATTAATTCCTAACATTAAATTAAGCAGTTATTACAGAGTAGGTATTGCTTTAAGTAGCATATTAGTTATTACCTCCATTTGATAGATAAAATAACCTGAGGCAAGGTGAAATTTAGTGCCCATTATTGCATAGCTGTAAAGGTGGAAATTTTAAGTTGATACCTAGATACTTTGATTCAAGAATCAATCTAGATGCTGAGAATATCATATTGTTCTGATTTCATATAAAATATAGAAAAGTTAGGAAACAAATATAAAAGTATATTTTAACTATATTACTTAGTGATAAATAGATTTACATATTATTTCATGAAAGGGTTTTTTCCACATTTTTTTCAAAATGTGATCATTCTTTCAATATTAAATTTTTTCTAAGAAAAAAATTTTAACTAAAAGAAGGAACAAGTTAACAAATCTGTCTTCTACATATTCACTTTTATTACCTTAATTTGGAACAGATTTTTCTCTTTTTACTCAATACTTTTTCAGTTAAACTAAAATTTCCATTATAGTATAAGCTGTTATAAATTAGCTTTAAAACTTAATGAATAATTAGCTTTAAATGTCTACAGTAATTTTTAAAGTTCCCAAATACAAAAATAAAAAATAAATGAATCATCAAAGAAAGAACACTTTATGTTTTAAATTGATCAGAAATTCACAAAAGAAAAGATCAACTGCATTAGTAAGCTCTTATGTTACTTTATAGAATAACTTGAAACAAGAAGGAATTAGAAATACAAATGTTGAAAATTAATACATTTCAAAAACATACAAATAAAGAATAAAACTCAGTTGGATTAAGTAAAATGGCAAAATGTTAAATCAGTTAATTAACAAAATAATGAATGCAAATAACTAACATAAATATGAAAAGCATATTTAATTACTAAATCAAAACAAAGTAAAGCAGTAAAATGTCATCATTCTACCAAATTAATAAAATATAAATATTTGGACTTCTGATGTTGAGAATGTAAGAAAAATATTCTCTATTTTATACAAGTGGTATCCATGTAAATGGTACAACAGCATTGTTTACATTTTGGTAGTGATTTCCTAGACAGTGATTTAGCCCCATCACCTACAAATGTCTGTTCCCATCCAGGCCAACTAGGTGACCAGGAGCAGTGATTATGCTTCTGGACACATCCATAGCTGTGGTCAATAAGGAGGTGATTGTTATAAATGTATACTGAGAAGCTCAAAGGTAGCCTCTTGTCTCTGCCTGCAGTGACGCTCACGATGGGATTGAGAAGATTCTGCAGTTGCCACTGAGTGCTGTTTACAGACAGAGGTCGAGAAATGTTAAACACAGAAAAAAGTAGGTAACAGAGACAGTTATGCCAAATGGCTTTCCATTTCCTTCACTACAGGGTTTTTAAGTTTCAAGGCACTCGCGTGTCCCCATAAAATAAAGCATTATATTTTATTCAACTTGCTTGTGACACTTGAAGTCAAACACATAATAGACAGATTATTTGAAAATTTCATTATTTTTCAAAATTATAAGTCTTAAATGAGGTGGTCGCACCTTTTATAAACTATCTTTAAAGAAGACTCAAAATGATCCTATAGATACAGTAATGCTTCAATAGAATACTTCAGACAAAAACGTTAATTGAATTTTGCTTACAAAAGTGAAAAAGCAGAAAGTAACACAAATACCAAAGAATTTGAAAATGGCCTTAATTTAATTGTTATACACAATTTAATATCATGAAAACATTGGTTGTTCACAAAAAAATAAAATTGGTAAGAGAATAGCTTATAGTATCAAGTGAGAAGATTGTAATACAAATAATGTTTCCTAGTTTTATTGTATTTTAACTGTATCATTCTGTTTTGCCTTTCACAGACCAGATACACAAATTTTTAAAAAATATTTAATGACATTTTAAAGTGCAATTTTATGATTTTTACAACCATAGAAAATTACTAAGCAAGTTTCTTTTTTATTATTTGCTGCACATATTTAATGATACTCCGCATTATTTGGTTTGTGTATTTTACAAAAATAGTCCAGTGATTCCATATAGCAACAGAAATACTAAGGGCAGTTTCTAAAATCTTTCATATCAGTATTATTTAGTTTAACCACTTAAATAAGTTACCCCAGTAAAATTTTTTAAATTTAATTTCCTTAGACAGTCTCTATAAGTACAATGAAAAACCAATTTTTATATATGTGAAGACTAAAAATTACCAGAATTCTGAAAGTATAATAGATGATTTTGATAACCTAAAATTTTTTCTTGTTAGGGAAGAATAATGGGGCTCCAAATTCAGAATGAAAAAATAGCACTTTACAATGAGTATTTTTATGTAATGCTTAATGTTCAAACTTCAGCAAATTTTTCTCAAAAATATCAGTGGAATATGAATAAGTTATTCAAATGATTTCAAGCTTTACTTTCATTTAATATTAATGTTAATACTAACACCAATATTAAATTTAGCACATAACAAGTAATTTCAAATTATCTAGAATCATTCCATAATAAAAATTCCAGTCTGATGAAGGATAACCTATCAAACTAATGTGCTGTATTACTCTAGTAGACATGCTCTATATAATAGTGCATCACTCATGTACTATCAAAATCATAATCATTAAAAATTCCAAAGTATTCATTTTAAATCAGCTGATTTTGGCATGCATTCTTGATTCTCCTATCATGTCTCTGTATTCTGTCTGTGTGAAAAGTCTGCACACTAAAATAACATGGTAAGCATAGGCTCTTTATTGGAATACAAGCTTCCTGAATGTTGGGTTCTTGAAGAACAAATGGAAATCCAGACAGAGAGTGACAATCAATTAGGGTCATTTTCCAAATACATTACTATACTGAATTCATTTTTAAAAAGTATTGTTATAGTAAAACAAGTTGAATTTTGTGGTTTTCAAAATGTGCATTGTTGAATTTAAATTAGTAATTGATAACATGCATTTTTATAGTCTCATGTATTTCTGATTCTTAAACATTGAAGTTCTTAGAAGTATGTAGTATGCATTTTCTTATTTCGTGTTATTTAGCACATTTATTGATACTTTATCAGAAATTAAAATATCTCATCATAGCCTTGTTTACTTAGAGACACTTCTTCAAAGTTCTTAATTCCACTCCAAATGTTTGAATTACTAAAGCTGTCAAAGTTTTAGATTTCTCCCTTCCCTTAAATCTATACCACAGAACCAGTTTCTTCTTGGGCACGGACAGGTTTGGGTGAGAAAGGAAGACGTTCAGGCAGATACAGCAATACTCCTGGGAAAAGTCTATTAACATGCATAAAGGGATTTCCTTGCAGTATAAATACTAGCCTGCCCTGCCTGCTGCCTCAGAGCCTGATGTATATATGCAGGTAAAAAGAATTGAATTAGCCCTGCAACAGGTAATACAGTAAAACTGATTTGGGGCGCAGCAGTTCTTACTTTTCTACTCGTGTGTGGGAATGAGTTGCCAATCTTTTACTTCGGCTGAGACCTTTATACCTCTGAATTCTGACGCTTCTGCAACTCTGCCCCTGATAATGCATCACAGCGCTGCTGAGTGCTTACCTGTCTCCAACCACGCCACCAATGTGATGTCTACAGGTACCAAACCCCTGTGACGCTTTCCGTGCGCTGAGCCTAAATATCTCAGAAAGGACGTTTTGAATCTTGTTAGTTAATAATCCCTTTGCTTGTTTTATTTTTCCCCTTCAATGTAACTGGTTTTAAATGAAATGTTAATACTATTAAAGAAGCTAAAATGTTAAGCATTTTTAAAATATTGTAAATCATTTAGATTGTTTTACCATAATAAAATCTACTTTTTATATAAGAAAACATTGAACTTAATGGAAATATGTATGGGTAAGTAACAAACTCAAAAAAATATTTGAAATAGTTTGAAGTTTAATAGATGGAACTTTATATTAAAGATTGATTTGATTTGGTATTGTCTAGAAACAGAACATATAAAACTTAGGTTAAATACCTCAAAGGAATCCTAAATACAAATCAAAATGGATTTTAAAGAATATAATCATTAAATTTTAATAAACATTTTGGCATAATATTAAATTTAGAGGCAAACTCAAAATTATGTTCAGAGAACATCACCACATACAAGCAAAAGTTTATGTTTGCTTCAGTTAACTTACTTAAAACAATTAGACTTCCATATTTAAAAGTATTGTCTGAACACAATCAGATGCATATTTTATAATACATTTGTTCTTTACACAGTAACAAAGAAACTATCTTAGTTGATTTATAAATGGATAAACCTTTGAGAAAAGAAAAATATCTTCCTTTAAACAGCAGCATATATTCACTTTGCATTTGTTTTAAATGCAATGTGTCTCATATTTAGAAATGGAAAAAATTTACACATTCAGAAATCTAAATTTAGGTTTATACTTTTATATTCTGGTTGAAAATATTGAACATCTATTTTATGTAAAAATAGACATTTTCAAATATATATGTAAGTTTCATGTCACTCTAAAAGCCAACTTTAAAGATTCTAGATATTAGTTATTTGGCCTTTTAGAAAATCATTTAATGTAGAGTTTCTTTTTTCATCTAGTAAAGAATCCTATCATTATATTAAACAAACATATTTGAGGTATCTCAACATATTTTTGAAAATATAGTAACAGCATTTCAATAAAAATACACAGTATAATTGGATGTTAAATATTCTTACATAATCATATATTTAAATAATATATATATTTGGAATAGAAAGAGTGATACATTGTTTCTTTAATCATCTATGTATAAAGAAAACCTAAACATCCATAAAATAAAATTTAGAATTGAGGAGTAGGTATAGTTTGCAACTCAAAAATTTTATTTTATAATAAATAACAATATATTTGCTAATTACTCTATTCTTTACCCAATTTTGTAAAATCAGAAAAAAAATTATTTAAATCTTGGAAGTAAAAAAACAAATCAGCAGTGAAAATGGCCTTCAAATATTTTAAATTGACTTATCATTTCTTATAAAATTATAATCACACATAGCTAATTGCCAAGGAAATAATTAGAAATACTGATTTTTAATTAGAATATTTGGTTATTAAATATTTCAACATTAATTTATTTAACTTTTAAATGAGTAGAAATATTTTTGTGTGTGACTGTTATGTTGCAAAATCACTTCAGTTCTTTTAATATCTGTTATAAAGTGAAAATGTATGCAGTTTTAAAAAAATAACTGTATACTGAGATAAAACATTTTTCTTTATGAATAGATCTTGTGTTCTTAATCATTATATTGCATGTAATATAAAAGTCTAAAAGAATCCTAAGTCTATACTATATGATATCTGATTCAAGAAGATAGATTTATGTTATACTTATGAAAATCTACTGCTCTGTTCAGGGCATGAAGTAAAATGATAAAATACACAATGAGATATGTCCACAATGCCTTCTCTATGTCAACCTGATGATTTCTGTTTAAAACTTAATAAAAGTTTAGTAATTCAAATTTTCTTTCAAAATACTCAGTGATTCCATGAAGCACAAAAAGTATCAATGAGATTATGTTTATACACAGTTTTAGTACATTCTTATTCATCAATGGATTTATTTTTGATGACAAACTTTACTGTCAGAATTGTTGTCATGCACATGCAGAATACATACAACCTCATAGATTCAACAACAGCATAAACATGTAACAGTGTCACAGAGTTTTCATAACACCCTGAAGGTAATGAGATTGCTGTGATTATACTCATTAGAGACGGCTTCCAGTGCCGTCTAGCATTAGAGATATGCTAGAATCATAAGCAAAAGTAGAGAAATTCAAGAGTCATTTTCAGTATGCTCCCAGAGAAAAATCTCTTTATAATATATGCAATTGAAGAATATTAAGAGATTATTCTCTAGTGTATTACAATATCTGCAATGGTTGGAACCTATAAAGATTTTGTAGCTCCCAAAGAGTTACAATCCAAACTGGCCAGTCAGCCCTACATGGGGAATAATTAATGAAGAGTATAGATCTGTTTGAGACAAAGTTTGACCCCTTGTTTATGTGCTCACTAAAACTTTTCCCAGTTTAAAAAAAAAGTGGCATGAAAGTTTAAGGCTTGCATAAATATGTATCTTTGAAATGAACTGAATGTGTCATGAATCCTCAGACATTTTCTTAGCAGCGCATCTATTTTTGTCTTTGATCCACATTCCTAAATGTTTTCACACATATTTCGTGGTGACAACGTTGGGAAACACAGCAACAGGACTACATTATTCTGTTCCTTCTTGCCATTATGGAAACCAGCCATCAACCTACGGAGTGATGGCAGGTAAGAAAATTTAACTTTATATATGATGTTGAATTTGGGGACACTGTGATGGATTTCCTGGACCTCAGATTGTCATCAGCAGACTATGATGTGAAATTGTGATATCTTACCCATGGAAATCACTATTCAAAACCATCACTTCCTGAGGTGCTTCCTGCTCCATAAGGCTGTCAGAGACCGAGTGATTAACCTAATTGCCTTATTTTACACATCTCACAACTGCTGCGCTGCTGAAAACTCCTGTTGGCTTTGTGTGATTTTTGTTTGTAGTCACTATTATTAAACTGCTTGATGTTATTGTGGGTTTGCTTTCAGTAATAATATGGTAGCGACCCACTTCATATAGCATTCAAGTTTAAATGTAAATTAACTGAAATAAAATAAATTTTAAAATTCAGTTCCACAGTTGTACTCGCTTCAAGTGCTCAGCACCTTTGTGATTAGTGGCTCTCACGTCAGACAAAGGGAAGGTATGGAACGTCACTTTCATCACAGTATTTCTTTTGAACATTTTGTCCATAAAAATAAATAAAATATTGACTGAGGCTGAGCGATTTGCAGACAGTCTATCGATAGCTACTTTAAGCTTTAGCTAATCCTTTCTGAATTGCTTTCGAGTCTGCACTAAGATTGGAATTAGTGAAATTACATACTTTTCTCTTCTGGATAAGTTAAGTATCACTGTTTTCAGACTAGCTATTGAGATTTCAAGCCCTACATGAATACACCAGTATATACTTTTTTAAAAAATGGGCAAATCTGGGCCATAAGATAGAATCATGACAAAATTAATGCTTAATTTCAGGGATGATAGAACTGTGGGGGGAAGGAAGGAGGAGGAAGAGGACCAGCCGTGGCTGAAAAGATAAGAAGTATGAAATATAAATAACCTTTATTTTGGGAATGCGGGGAGAGACACCCTCAACCCCCTGGGGCATAGCATCTCCACCCCGGGCCAGTGATCTCTCCGTGGAACACGTGGAGTGAGGCACATAAGTAGCCTTGGCCTGGGGTGGAACCTAATGGGGCATTAGGGATGCACAGGTAGCCCATTGGTCTTAGTTTGGAGCCAGAGGTAATTCCTAAAGGTGGGGGAGACAGGAGCTCCTTGGCTTTAACGGCTACAGTATCCGGCCTGGGCCAAAACCCTTTCAAGGGAATGGCCAGATATAAGACTTTAATGGTTTAATGAATTGCACAGCTGGCAAGTAGATTTCTTGTTTTGCTTTGCTTTAAAGAAATTCTTTGATTTCCTATATTTATTATTACAGCAGAAAATGATTTACCAGTGGGACTGAACTAACAGAATATGCATGTGTACATGTGTGTGTGTGTGCATGTGTGGTGTGCGTGCTTGTGTGAGAGAGTGATGCTGTCATAGAAATTTTGGATAAAGGAATAACATTAGGGAAATCTTTTCTAACTTGTGTTTTGTTACCCTCCAGATAAGCAATGAAACCAACAAGCACATAGATTTAGACCTATAATTTTGAAGTAAAACAGAACAATTTAATTCATTAATCTTTAATTTCTCAAATTTTCTCAGCATAAGACTCAATAAATATTGCAGCTTTAAAATAATTCAGAAAAATTTAATTTCTCTTACATTCTGTCAAGAAGTATTTCTGACAGAACTGTATCATCCTTTGTATGTCAAAATGACTCTTAACAATAGACTGTAAATTTTGATTTCTCTATTCAATAATTAACAAACAAGGGAAGACAAATTTATTCTTCTCTGCAAACTGATCACTTATGACTCATTAATTAATCAGTGCTCATAGCTAATGAGAATAGCCTTCCTCAGTGATGAACTACTTTCATTAGAAAATAGTAAAATGCACGCACTTAGCTACTGGAGGTATAAGGGGAAAGCTTTATTCTTTGTCGCATTTTGATTATGTACACAGGAAATGGCAAGCATGGGGCCATACGCTGCCCTCTCCTGCAGGCAAGTGATTCACAGGGATTCCCAGGAACTAAGGTATAGCTTTGGTTTGTATACCAAGGTACACTTTAGTTTCAACTCAACAAACCCAGTCCTTGCTCACTGCTCACGGAAATCACGAAGATAAAACTAATCACAGACCAGTGAGCATTTATGTCTTGCCCTCATACCTTCAGATGGCTTGTACTTCTGCCTCCCTTCCCAGGAAGTCAAAGGGAGTTTGCAGCTGTCCTTAGCATTCTGTCATTCACCTGTTCTTGTGGTAGGGCAGGTCACTCTGAGAGCTAACAGGCAACTCAGGTCCTGCTGACATAAGTTCCCTCAAGAAGACACTCGGCAAAATGGCCTTTCATTAACATCTTCCTTACTGCAGTTTAAAACTAAAGGCTCATGGAAAGACTTAACAAGATTCAAAGTCTGGCGTGGTGACATTAATAGCAAAATTTTTATAGCAAGATTTGGAGATATCACTGTAGGTTTCACATTAAATGTTTTGTCACTGAAAGAAAAAACATGGCAAACATAGAGATTGTATTTGAATATTTTGAGTGAGGTATCATTAAAATGTGATGTGCTTTATAATATGTCAGAAGGTCTATACTTTGATATATATTCAGCATTAGCATTTGCTTCATGGCATATTAAATCTTAGAGAGTCTGACTTTTCCTGTCTTCATCCCCAGAGAAGCTGCAGAAATTGAGTTATAAAATACAAGGACTCAAAAATAAAACAAAAAGGTATAAAATACACAGTAGAAACCTGGTTATGTCATTTGAATATTCTGAGAAGTCTCAAGGCAGTAATAAAATCAGTCACTTCCACACAATCCACAGCAGCACCTTATCAACAACACAAACCATTCATGTTAGGTGCTGGGCATGACAGCTAAACTACAGAAGGAACCACATTTTCAGAGGACGTGAAATTACTATTGTAATATGCTGATTTTATTACCGTACTCTGTTGTTTTAGTTGGAACATTTTATTAGGTTAACTCACAGAAAGGGAAGAGTTACAGCTAGTATTTTTTTCAGATAGGTATGGAAGATTTTAATTACCAAGAGAGTCCACTGTACCTCATAGTCCAGATCTAAGCAAACTAAAGGAATACCTGGACAGTAGCGATGAATTAGCCACATTGTTAACTAATTGCTAACCTAGTTCTAGCCAATTAGCACCTCTGAATATCTATCCTTTTGAATAGAAAGTGAATACTCACAGGCTATTACTACTGAAAATAATAACTGGCTTTCCACCTGAGCCAATGAGAAAGGCCAAGAAAGCACTTTGGCAGCTGACATTGAGAAACCGTGTTTCTTTGAGCTTATCTTCTTTCTCTGGCTCCCTATCTGTGTCTGTTTTTCCCTCTGCCTCTCTTTCTCTGACTCCTTTTTTCCTCTTTATGGTTTTTGTCCTGTCTTTTCTTCCTTTTTCCTCTCTCCCTTCATTTCTCAATTTTCTTTGTTCCAAGTTGTGCTGGTTGTATTAAATATGAAGGGGCAATTGTGTAGATCTTTTGCTTCTGTTTGGTCTTTAAGCAGCAGTAACATGATATATTTTTTTTCTTCTAATGAGTTGATAATTTTTTTTGTGGAAAGAACCAGGTAGTAACTACCTTAAGCTTAAGCAGGAGAACTGTCACAAACTGTCCGTAAACACACAGGTACAGTTAGATTACCTGACAGAAAAGGCAGTAGATCCCTGTTGCACATTTATGTGATTTAACCTACACCAAAATGTGAAAAGATAACTACTTAAACATTAATAATTTGGCCTGACATGATAGGGCGGCCTGTAATTCTAGCAGTCCACAAGGTTGGGGCCGGAGAAATGCAAATGCAAATCCTAGCCTGGACATCTTAGCAAGACTGTGGAAGGAGGGAGGGAGGGAGGGAAGGAGGGAGGGAGGGAGAGAGAGAGAGAGAGAGAGACAGAGAGAGACAGAGAGAGAGAGAGAGACAGAGGCAGAGAGAAATGTGATCTGTTTGAAGGTCCTGGGCATAATCCTTAGCATTACAAAAATAAACACACAAAAGCCAGTTAAAATTTGCTCTAATTCACATGAGAAAACGGAGAACATAAATGGAAGAATTCAAATACATATTCCTGCATGCTTCCAGAAACATGGAGTAATTACTGTGTCCCTCTGCCCCCAGCCCCTCCGATTTGTTCTTCTTAGGCACCAAGCCCATAAACTGAGATGCTGCCAGCTACCACATGCTGGAGAAGAGGCAGTTTGCCCCATGCCGTGGTACAGAGTCAGCACCCTGCAAGACAAGGCTGTCCTCTGTCCTGCACTGGCTGCTTTGAAACATTAACCAGTTCTCTCACCTTTGCTGTGCAGAAACACACAGAGCAGTTGAGAAAGACTATAATGGGCTCATCTGCAATGGAAAAACATATTTGTGACCACAGAGTACCTGCAAATGCTTCTAAGCTAGTAATTAAACATGTCTTTGTCTAGAATAAGACATTTGTCTATCAGCATTTTGGAAAATGCATGATCTGCCATTGTTTTTCTTACCCAGTATTCCATACTTTAAAATGGTTTGAGCAACATCTTCTCATGTATCTCACACCAGTCTCTTCCAAGACTCTCCCAAATACAGAATCCTAGAATGGAACCAGTGTTTTGTTTGGCTTTGCTTACAACTGCGATGATGAATTTCTGTGTAAGTTTAGTTCTAGGAGAACTGGAATCCTGCAGGTAATAAATCTTTATAGAAAAGTCATTTAACTTATCTAACCACATTCTAAAATGTAAACTAGGTACATATTTTGATGTGGTTGATTCTAATGCTTGGTGGACTTTAGTTCTAGTTACTGCTGTATTACAAAGTCATCATGGAACCAGAAGACAGTTATTTAATTTCTATGGAAATTTCTAATTGTAAATTGTGGAGCAAATACAGTACTACATATCATCTTTCCTAACTCAGTTGTTTATAAGGATAAAGAACGTGGCATGTGAAATGATCACAAAGTGTCTCATAACGGACTTGTAGTAGCAGTACATGATTGTGATCATTAAGAAAACTTGAAAATAATGATCAACACTGCTAACAGATTCACACCTCATAGTACATGATATAAAAGATATACAACAGTTTAACCGGATAATTTGATTTTGTAAAAAATAGCATTTTGCAAGACAAAAACAATTTCCTTGTATTATTTTTCTTGTAAAACAGCTGTATTAATTTAATCTCTCATTCCTGTGTTCCCTTTTCTTTAGAAAAATAATGTATTCTACTGAACAATATATCATGTATTCTATTGAACACTATATATGTACTCTATATTATATAATCACATATTCTCACATAAATAATGTAAATCAATAATTTGCTGACACTATTTTTGGTCATTACATATTGATATATTAAAGAAAGATTTGTTATGTTACATTATTACTCATGTCTTTGATTTGTGAATGTATTTATGGATCTACAGGAAGCATGAACTCGATGTATTTTTCAGTAAGTTTCAAAGAATGATACCTGCATATATTCTATAATAACTAGTTTTCAAGTTCTTATTTATACTCATAAGAAAGATGATTACACAAAACTTCTATATCAAAATGCTTGGTAATTTATGGTATTCAATATAAATTAAAAGGAAATCTTTGTCAATGAAAATTTATTAATGAACAATTTAAAAAATGTGTTGCAATTTGTGTTACGTCTCATCCTCTCACCTCTTCTATTAAACTAACATAGATACTTATTTCTTAATGAAGACTGAAATCTGGAAGCAATTTCTAAAAAATTAAAAGTATTTTACTGCTTTGGAATTTATCACTTAACCCACTTACCTCAATGCTTCATCATTTATGGGTGATTACCTATTACACATGGAATTGTATCCTTCCTTGCCATTTATTTTTGCTTTTCCATAAGGTGTAAAATTCCATAATACTATATATTTTAAATAAATATTTTTGCTAGCATTATAATAGAACTTTTGAAGTTACTTTTGTTACTCCATTCATTCAAATCTATTTAATTATACTAATGTATTTTAATATCTCATAACTATCTTTTTACCTGTCTTTGTTAAAATTTAAAAAGATGTTATTTCTCACCCAGTTGAGCATTTACTGATAAATCAGTGGGGCTTTTTAATACTGCAAGATCAATTTTCTGGTTGCCACTACTGGGACCCCAGCAGGGAGACTAAGGCAGGAGGATTACTGTGAGTTCAAGGCCAACCTGAACAGCTTAGAAATTCTGTCTCAAAAAATAAAAATGAGAAAAAAAAAAAAAACCTTCCAGTTACAAGCGCAGCTCACAGTAGAGAACAGTACCTTCACTTTTGCAAATATTAGTGATCATTTGTTCAAAGAATTAAAGAAACCAAGATTCACACATATATTCTGATTAGAGTTGAACCCCAGATCCCTGATAATAGATGCATTTTGAAAGAAAAAGGATAGAAATCTTAACACTTGGAGAATTTTTAATTTTTTGCAAATTCTTGTTCTTTGACTTTATCTTGGTTTTTGCTGCTCTGGAGATGGTAAAAGATAAATAATCCCATTCTAAGCTACTGACTCCTCTTTTGGAAACCTGAATATAAAGTTAACCTTTGGGGAGACTGCAAACCCTTGGTTAGTAGGGGACAATTACAAATGGTGATTTCCCTCTCTTCTTTTATTCACAGGCAGTTTAACCCCGTGTCTTTACAAGTTTCCTGAGCACACCTTGAGCCATGGATTTCCCCCCCTCCACCAGCCTCTGCTGGCAGAAGACCCTATGGCCTCTGAATTCAAGCAGGAACTCAGGCGGAAAAGCAAATTGGTTGAAGAGCCAGTAGACATGGATTCTCCGGAAATCCGAGAACTTGAAAAGTTTGCCAATGAATTTAAAATGAGAAGAATCAAGTTAGGTATGCATTTATTAGGAGCAATGAGGCAACCAACTCAGTTTGCAAAATTCTTACGCTATCATTGTGAAATTTTTAAAAACTTTGTCTAAATCTAAGTTCCTCTTTTATATGCCTACTATGGATTTGGGTAAGTGTTGAAAATCTACAAAAACTTACCTCCTTAAAATTTTTCAATAAAGCCATGAATTTTGAAATGAATAGTACTTGAAAATTTACCTACCTCAGGATTAATTCTGGAATGCCTCTTAACTATCTCATAACTATCTTTTTACCTGTCTTTGTTAAATTTAAAAAGATGTTGTTTCTCACCCAATTGAGCATTTACTGATAAATCAGTGGGGCTTTTTAATACTGCAAGATCAATTTCCTAGTTGCCATATTTTATGTGAACTTTTATGTAATAAATTCATACAATTAAAAATATGAAAGGGTGTGAGTTGTATACCTTCTGCTTGTATTTCCTGTTTGACATTAGTTTCTTCTTTCCAAAGCTGTCTTACATTAAATATATATATATATATATATTTTTTTTTTTTTCTTTTTCTGGTTTCTAAACATTTATCTGTTTGGCAGCAGTTGTGGCTGAATCCAGGTCCTCAAGCATCCTAAGCAAGGGTCCTTCTGCTGAGCCCCATCCCCAACCCATTTTTCTTTCCTTGTTAAGAGTTGTGGACACTTTATTTGATGAACACACTGTACTTTAATCAGTGCTCTACTTACAGAATTTAGGTGATTTCTAATCTTTTGCTGCTAAAACAATGCCACAATGATTGTCAATGTCGCTTTGCACCTATATAAATATATATATATATATATATATATAGGAAAAATATTCAAATTGTAGATCAAAGACTATGAAAGTTTACAATTTTGATAGATGCTGTGAAACTGGTTTACATAGAATTTATACTAATTTTCCTTTCCACCAAGAATGTTTCATTTGTTACCTTCAAAATATAAGGAATGCTTTGGGGTTTTGTTTTTGCTTATTCTTTTTTTCCCTTAATGTTGTATCTCTTAAGATCAGCTGAGCTCCTGCAGGGTGACATGACCGTAGACTCTAACATGAGCCGTACTTGGAATATGAAATAGTGGTTGAAAAGCACTGTTAATCTTTTAGATTTTTGTAAACAAATAAAAGTGGTGCCTCATTGACATTTCATTTAAAAATGCTCTGATTATGAGGACGTATTCTTTCTTGTATTTAATAGCATTTGTGTTTCCTCTTCTGTGAACTGTCAATTCAGAGCCATTGCTCATTTTCTGTTGAGAAGTGTTTTTAACGTAAAATCACTCCAACGATTAACTTTGGATAAAATTCATGTAGTATATTTTTTGAAAAATTATTATTTAAGTATTTCAACTTGTGAAATGAACAAGCAATGTTATACTGATATTTACTGATGGATATCACATTTAGCAATTTTATAACTATAGGGATATAGCCTTAGGCTCAGAAATAATATGTAACTACAGTATGCAATAAACATAGCAGTAGGCAGAATATTCATTTGCAGTTTTCTATTTATATTGCTACTTTTGAAATGATGGTGATGGTTTGTTTCAACTTATACTCTAGAAATGTCTATGGCAATCAATAAAGCTCCTTTGCCTGAAGGCCAAAGCATTACCAAATAATATTATAAATGTGCTCAGAGGTACAGATAAAATTTGTGATCATAGCCTCATTCCAAACATGCTTTCAGTGATACTCATAGATTTATTTAGTACCTCTCAACAAGTCAGAATTTTCACTTATATTTGAAATAGGAAATGGCATATCACCATATTTTATGCATTATCCATATTAAAGATATAAGACCATATATCATCAAATATTTAATAATGATAAAAAAGGAATTTTAGGCATCTTACAAAGTTTATGATAGATCTATACAATTTGGCTAATTATGTTCCCATCTAAGTTTTTCTGATTTCTTTTTTTTTTCTTTTTTTGTCTTTTTCATTTTTATCGGTACCAGGGATCAAACTCACGACTGCCTGCTTGCAAGGCAGGCGCTTATGCCGCTGAGCTAAATCCCCAGTCTCTCTTCTGATTTCTAAAAAATGTAATTTATTAGCCTGAAAAAATTTTTTATGATGCACTGAACAATGCCACACTGAACCTTACTAAGGAATTTTAAATTGCCAAAGATACATAATTTTTAAAACCATTTAATAACTGAGAAAGAGACACAGATTTGTGTGATAATGGAACAAAGCCTATGCCCCTTAAAAGGCAGAGCTAATGATCTTTGTTCTTTTTACAGGATACACCCAGACAAACGTTGGCGAAGCCCTGGCAGCAGTTCATGGCTCTGAGTTCAGTCAAACAACGATCTGCCGATTTGAAAACCTGCAGCTCAGCTTTAAAAACGCGTGCAAGCTGAAAGCAATACTGTCCAAATGGCTGGAGGAAGCCGAGCAAGTAGGAGGTACTGGGCCGCGCTGAAGGCTGTGCTACAGTTTACCCTAAGTGACCACTGCATGTGGCAGGGTTAACAATAAAGCAGGAGGTCTGAGGCTTTTATACTCATTTTCTCCTTGAGATGAAAAATAAGTGTTTCCTTACATTATACTAAAAGCAAAAAAGGAAGACCAATGAAATGCAGGTATAAAACTGTTTGGCTGAGAATAGCTATATAAAAAAAGCTTTAGCAGAATTTCAGCTTGAAGTGATGCAAGATTTTTTTTTTTAAATTTTGCAAATTTACTTTTTACTGTGCTGACAGCTCAAAATTTAGGTTTCCCTTCATGCCATTATTTCAGTGTTTTAGGAAAAAGCAGTAATAATTACAAAATATATAATGCATTTGTAGCATCAAGGAATAAAATAAAGGCATTTGCATGATAGATTCAATAGCAACCTTTTCCCCCAAAACAATTCCACATTTAAGAAAAATTCCTTTCAAAGTATGCTTACTCATAAATCATACCTCATTTTATAATTTCTGGAGATATTAATATATTTTGTGATATGCTTTTGGAGACAAGTTATGGTTTTTTAGTATGGAGCAATCAGAAATTCACACTGGCATGGTTTACTTTTGGTACATGTGGGGAAAAAATAGCAAAGTAAAGATGTAATATAAACATAACAGGTAAAATTCTGATGGTTAGAAAAACAAAGGTTCACTTAAATGACAAATACTGGCTCCCCTGAGAAAGGTAATCAGGTAACATAATGTACATGGTATGACATCCAGTGACGTTAGGAAATCAGCAGGTATCTCATCACAACATGGAAAACGTAACTTCATTAATGTACAAGTTATGTGAAAAGAACACAACATTGTCAAAAACAGATGCTCAAAACCTCTATAAATGTATATCTTAATGCCAAATATTGCATCAACTTCAGAAACATCATTTATGAATGAGAAAATAAAGCATGTGTATCAAAAGATTAAAGCAAATGCAGTGTTAAAATTACAATTCAAGTGGTGCAAGATTTTTTATCTAGATTGTTTACCTCTTGTTATAGTCTGGAGTAACTGTGCATAAATCAGTTTCACAGCCTAGTATTGGTTTACAGCGAGCATTTGTACACACCAGTCTTCCAATTAACATAAGCACGTGGTAGATGAGCTATTTAGTACAGTAAAACTACATACTTACTCTAATATGAAGGCTGCGTAGAGCCAGGTGTGGGCAAAGCCGAGAACATGATTTGCAGAAAGATCTAGCAAGACGAATATTTATTTGTGCCTTAACATTTTCCCATGGAACATAAAATACAGTATACTGAACAAAATTAAAAGAAAAATATATAATTTTATTTTGAAGTTTATATATAGAAAACTTAAAATCCAAATACTCCCTTTTCCACATTCCAGCTTTGTACAATGAAAAAGTGGGAGCCAATGAAAGGAAAAGGAAACGCAGAACCACTATCAGGTATTCCTTCCAGATATTAAAAGTGGAGACAAAAGAAAGATGCTTTGCAAATAAAATCAGCATTTGAGAGTAATATAGGTACAACAATTTAAAGTGAACAAAGTCATTTGAAACAAGGTAAGTTAAAACACAATTTTAAAATTAAAGTGAAAGTAGAGATTTTTAACATTAGATAAGAAATACGCTGCTTGAAGAACATTTTTGCTTCAGAAGTATAAAATAAAAATGAAAATAATTGCTGCTTAAAAAGCAGTCAATCTTGCTGACCTTTTCACTGTAAATTTTGGTCTAGAGTTACAGTGTCCATTTTACTATGAATGATGAAACTAGTCATCAGTATTTTGTCTCTTAAAATGAAACATTATCTCGTGCATTTCGACCCAGAAAAGATGTTCATTTTTTTTGCTTTTATGACACATATACAGGAAATGCTACAACCCAGGTTTTTATTTGGTCAGTTGTTCACTAGACATTTCATACACTGTTTTTTAAAAAAATGAGGGATGGCGTTTACACCTACAGGTGTTTTAGTTCCTCTTACAAGAATCTGCTGCCCTCTTGTGGCGCAAAATGGGATAAACATAGGAAGTGTGCGTTCCTCTGTAATTTTCCTGCGGCTCTGGCAATGCTACCCAGAATAGAAGTTTTAACAAATTGAGTATTTGTCTTTTGCAACTATTTTCATAATCTTCAAGTTCCATTTTTAATGTTAGTATTTAAAAAATTTAAGTTAATTTTTTTCTCCCCAAAGCTTCACTAAAGCAACATAACCTCACCCCTCGCCCCTCCTACAGTATCTCTGCTAAAGATGCTCTGGAGAGACACTTCGGAGAGCAGAATAAACCATCCTCCCAAGAGATCATGCGGATGGCTGAAGAGCTGAACCTTGAAAAAGAAGTAGTAAGAGTTTGGTTTTGCAACCGAAGGCAGAGAGAAAAACGGGTGAAAACAAGTTTGAATCAAAGTCTGTTTTCTATTTCTAAGGAGCATCTTGAGTGCAGATAAGATTTTCCATCACATAATAGCCACTTTCCCCCCTCGTTTTCCTTTTCTCCCACAGCAAAATCAGAGATATTACTTGGCTGGATTAAAATATTTATATTTCATACCAATAACTTCTAGTATAACACTATTTTTATTAAAAAAATTCCAAGTTCAAATTATATTATTTTATAAGTAATTATTCCGAAAAGCCAGGGTGCATATTGTAAACCAAAGATATTAAATGGAGAGAAGCAGAGCACATCCTTCCCCTCCGTCTACTTCTCTGTCTTCAGACACACAAACATGAGTATACACATGGATCTTTTAGTTTGAAACTCCATTTCTAAGGTAGACTTCTAAATCTTTTAACCAGTGATGTAATGTACTTAAAGAATAAAACCTGGGAAGAGCCGATCAGAAATTCATTTATGTTCTGCCCATCAGCAGCCCTAGAAGTTCGCTTGGATTAAAGTTTTGAACTCCAGGAGGTCACAGGTGTTTTAGAATTTTCTCAGAGTTAATACATTTTAATCAGAGTTAATACATTTGAAGGTACTATTTAAGGCACAGAGCCCGGAATAGTAGTTCGAGATTTGCAAAAACTTTTCTGTATAACCTGTATATTCTTAATTATTAGCTTTTTGATGTTTAGCTATAGAACATACATAGGTTGGAAGTACAGCTCAAGTTTTTGACTGCTTACTAGCTGATACCAGGCTGTGGGATAGATCACTACTAAAATATAAGATAGATAGATAGATAGATAGATAGATAGATAGATAGATAGATAGATAGAGTTTAATAATTCATGTGCCCTAAACTATTAGTCCCGGTACCGATAAAAAGGAAAAAGAAAAAAAAAAAAAAGAAGTTGCAACAAAGGATGAAAAACAACTGGATTGTCCGTTATTTCTAAAAGTTGTGGGAAATTTCCACTCACTCTCTTTCTTTTAGCAACCTCCTGCCATTTGAATGCAAATGTTAAGAAAATCCTACTACCAAAAAAAAAAAAAAGACAATAGGGAAAGCAACTTTAAAAAAAATTCTCTTAGGTTGCCTATATTTTCTATTATTAACTACTACTTCTATTACTTCTTATTAAGTGTTCAAAAAGAACTTTTACTTCTACTAAAGAGTAACAACACAAATTTAAGTGAATTATAAATCTGCCATCTAGAGCATTTTAGGAATGTAGCCAAATCACATGACTCTACTTTCTCTCCAGTCCAGAAGTCTTCTGTGGTATCCAGCTTTGACTGAAACAGTAATGACAAAGACGTACACATTTAAAAGTAAAACTTAAACTCCACTACAGAAATTATCAAATTAACTAAGAAAACCAACACTTCTTATGCTTATTTAATTTTCAAACATCAGCAATGTACCATTGCTAAGTCCTAAAAAAGAAATTTTTGTTGTTGTCATTAAATGTAAGTAGCAGAGTGATACAATTTTACTTTTAAGAATACAATAAAGGTTGCTCTTTTGGAAATCAGCAAGTATATCTAAACACTAAATTTAGCAGAAGCCAAAAAGAGTAAAAGACAAGGGAAAAAAAAACAGTAATAAATCTTTATTGAGATTTTTAACAAAATAATTTTTTAAAAACCCACATGTAAACAAGAAAGTAAATACAGTTAGATGGCATTATTATGTACATCCAAGAATTGAAACATGTTCAAGTTAATATTCTATAATCCAGTACAATATTTTCATTCATCACTGCTCAGGGCAATTAGGAATTATTTAAGACTATCAATAATGAATCCTAATTTTTAAAGATAAAGTGATCTATGAATTCTTAACTAAATGTCTTAGGCTGGGGATATAGCTCAGTGCATAGCACCTGCTTGGCAAGTGCAAGGTCCTGAGTTCAATTCCTGGTACAAAACAAAAACAAAAACAAAAACAAACTAAATAGCTTAGTTTTTTTTACCCAATTTATATGTTACATGTAAACTTGTTCTAAAACATACTTAACTTTGTCAATATTAGTCCAAAATGCCCACCATTTCAAATTAACTAGGTTACATATATTTAATCTCCTCCAAGATTTTTATGATAGACTGTTTTAGAACTTATGTGTCACAAGTGTCATCTTTCAAAGCTAACCTAATTCTAAATTCTATTTCTATCTAATGTAGCACTCCATTTTCCTTCTGCCCTCTCTATACATAAATATCATGACAATGTTAGCTAAAATACACTGCAAACACAGTAATACACACTTAGGCAGTAATTTCTGACAAAACTGTAGTTTATTTACCAAAAATTATTAAACTTTCGTTTTAAAATTTATGTCATGCATTGTCATAGTAGTAGTGGCTTCAATTTAGAGTTCAATATACCAATACAATTCTAAATTAAACAGAAGTTAAGTTACAGTTCATATGGAGAAAAATCTCAGTTCTTGGAAGTAAGATCAAAACCTACTGTTTATTACAATAAATGTTATTCAGTTTTTGCTAATTACATTCAATTCACTTCTATAAGATGTACAAGACAGTCTGAATAACTGTTGTATCTCAATTTTTGTTTAAAACTATTTTTTTTACTGCCAGTTAAAGTAATTTAAATATGTGCACAATATGATTGTGCTATGTAAGGCCGGTGCCAAGCACATTTTGAAAGGTAATAACTTACAACTAGAATGTTCTCCCAAAGAAAAAAGAAAAGAAAAGTTAATGATAGTTTTTAAGACAGATGTTTAACTACTACTCTTCTTTTAGATCATTTAAAAATAATTTGGCAGCTGTAGTGCCTATGGTCATAAAACATAATTGTTTACAAAGGCTAAGCAACAGATACAGAATTAGTGATATACTTTGATTATTTTTACAAGTCTTTTTAAGTTGGTGCCTAGTGGCATTTAACAAGAATTGTGTATTCAGTCTGAAAAGATTTAAAACATGAACTGACACCAAGTAACATATTTAATTCTCTATGCCATGCAGAAAGAAGTCAACTTTTTACACATCACACTCCTAAGCAGTTCTAATTAAAATTCAAACCATTTCCATTTTTATGTCATTGTCATTCTTTGGCAAAAAATTCAAAATAGCCGTGGGATAGGAAACAACTGTTTATTTATGGTCCTCATTTTTCAAAATAAATGTGTTTTGTAAAAGGAATCTGCACCGTGCTTGCTTCATCCTAAATAATTGTAAGTAAGCAAAAACACAATGACTTTTTTGACTAATCTACTCCTAAGGCTTTGAGTTGCTGTTCAATCTCTTCATCGGAGATTGCAGCCTTTGAAGCAGAGGCAGATGGTAAGCTTCGGGCAGCTGAAGGAGCTTTGGCCATCTATGTAATTAAAGAGAGGAACAGAGAAAAAAAATGGAAAAAACAAAAACGTGCATTAGTGACATCTTGGCTAACACAAAGTATATGCTACAAAGTAATTTACTTCTGAAACAAGCATAAAACCATATAAGTAACACTAAAAGACAGTCTGAAAGAATTAAAACATGATGTTCATACCTTCCCAGAGATCTCAATTCCAATTTCATCAAGAACTTGATTTACAATATCTTGGCTTTCTTCTTCATCATCAGAGCCATCAAAGATGTCATCAAGTGTGTCATTGACTTGGTAGAGGAAGAGTAGAACAAAGCAGTTACTGTCAGACATTTCAGTTTGATTTGTATTTTTAGAAAATACTACAATAAAATATACTGTTTTTTATATTATAAAAGTCAGATTTCAGTAAATTAAAAAACACATTTCAGGGGCTGGGGATTTAGCTCAGTGGCATAAGCGCCTGCTTTGCAAGCACATGGTCGTGAGTTCGATCCCTGGTACTGATATAAAGAAAAAAAAAAGGAAAAAAAAGAAAAAACACATTTCAAATGTCAATGAAGCATGAAGATAAATATATTTCTAAGCTAATAAATTTGGAATAATGTTTATTTCAACACAGTATCCTTTAATAAAATAAGTAGATTCTGATTTTTTCTTTTAATTTTACCTTTAGGGTAATACTCAGTGATAGAACACTCATTGAGTATACTGTGAGGCCTGAGGTTTGATCCCTAGCATGGAAAAAAAAAATCTACTTTGTAAACAAAACCTATGTATTATTCATAACTGCAAGCATCAGTTTTTTTTAATTTGATTTCAAAAATTCTATCCACTGTGCTGGTAGCTAATGGACCTAACCAAAAAAAAAAGAAGAAAAAAAGAATCAATTATCCTACTAATATTTGGGAGACAAATTACGCCTTTTGTATCTATAATCATAAGTTCATACTTCTTAAATTTATACTTAAGATACAAGTAGAATATTTTAATAAAATCAAAGTGTCACTATTTTATTAAATATGACCAAAAATAATCAACTTTGCAAGACTGTTACTGCTATAAGCATTTTTTCTTTTCTTCCCTACCTGAAGTACTTATTAAATGCCTTCTATATACTGGGAATCACATTGATACGAGTTAAAAGTTTGTTCAAAGGCTTGGCACCATATCTTATTTATCTTTGACACTGGGGCCCTAAATAACTGGCATGCAGTAAAAATACAATAGAAATAGAGATGGAGAAAAATGAAGAACTTAGTTCATTTTCAGGAGGAAAAAAAACACACTGTGGTAAATAAAATGATAAATATTTACACAAAGTCTCGGAGGAAAAAGGCTGCATTCAACTAGAAATAACATGCGACACAGTCCTGGAAGGATGCACACGTGCATACAATTTGAGCAGAGATACGGCCTTGGTGAGGCAAGAAGCATGCCTACAAGAGATTAAATTCCTCTGTTTGGTTGTTATTTAAGATACATGAGGAGAAAACGCCTAGGAGGGCAAACAGCATAAACACTGAGCCTATAACAGTGAAGTAACTGCAGAGAAAAAAGACAAGTGCCCAAATGTGGTCTCCTTGTAATCGTGTTAGTAAGTGGGAACCTGGTAAAAGACCAAATGTCTGCTATGTGAATACTCTTTATCCGTGGAATGCTCTTAGTAAGAAATATTAGTTTACGACCGCAACAGAAACAAACCTATAATCTGTGAATTTAATGAGCCAAGAGTCCCTGGTGAATGTCACATAGGTAAGGGACTGCTTGAGGAATGAAGGCACTGGAGGTATTTCAGAACCTAAATAACCCTTTAAGGTAAGATTATAAGAAGTCTCATTAGACACGTTATCTAGAAATGTGGATCAGAGATCTGACGCCCTGTGCTGCCTGTTATATCCCTGTGCACCCTTGCTTTACTTGTGCATCAGCTGTTGCTTTTATCCTTGACACTAATAAATATTGATAAACATTAATAAAAATTGGTATAAATATTGGCTGACATTAATAAAAATTGGTAATGACATCACATTTGCATAATCATGATTGGAAAATCTCATATTTGGTGAGCTCAAATACTATAAAATTTAGAAAAGGCTAAAGAGCTTATGGATTAAAAAATAAAATATCATGGAATATGGTCTCTGAAGAAATAAAGTGCTTATTGAGCTATGAATGAGAATCTCACACAACTTTGAGAAGTCTCTGTGGCTCAGTGGGCAAAATGAAAGTGCTAGACAAGAAAAACTGTCTTTGATCAATGATTTTGAGTGATTATTTTGCAGTCAGTAGAAAGTCATTAACAGAATCTGATCAGCACACTCCAGAGATAAACTTCTGGAAAAATAATTCATCTGTGTGTTACCTGGGTAACAGCAAAGGAATAAGGGGGGCAGAGTGCATGTTAGAGTTTCTAAAGGTCTGAGTGAAGAAGTGTTACAGAAAAAATGAAAGAAGGGGTAGTTGAGTACCACCACAAAGTGGAACTGGAATTATCAGAAAATACTTTTTTAAAAAGCATAATAAACGTACTTGAACACACTGGCAGAATAAAGATTTCCCAAACACCTTGTTCTGAATGTGAACAAGTTTGGAATAACATGGCACAATGCAAATTTTAACTGGAAAAAGGTATGTTCATTTGTACTTCATTTTTAATAAAAATTGGTTAGTATACTTTACTAGATTATTAGAAAAAAAGGTAACCATAAGTAGTTACTATTATTCAAAACTGATTTGAAAAGTACTAAAATACAAATTGGAACAATTACGCTAGACGTGATACATGTATGATTAAATAAACATTTTTTTTTTTAGTATTAGGGATTGAATCTAGGGCTTTCACATTCAGCTACAACAGAAGCTCTCTTTTTATGCTTTATTTTGAGACAGAGTGTCACTAAATAAGATAAACTCCAAGCTGAGTTTAAATTTGTGACCCTCCTGTCTCAGCCTCCCAGAATACTGGGACTATGGGGCTGTGTGCTAATACATCCTGCTAGTAAGCACAGAGTGATTGTTTTCATTATACCTTAATGGAAACATTAATTTTTCTAAAACTTGCTCACACTTGTGCTATCACTGGGAATCACAGAAACATGTTAGATACTGTGATCTTCATACACATGATAAGGTTGGCAGGTATTAAAAATCAACAGTATTTCAAGAGGATAGAAAAAAACAGAGTTTTCAAAATAAAGCCTTAAAGTAAAAAACTAAGGAAGTTTTGAAACTATCAAAGATGCACATACATACATAGTACTATTATATCCTAGAAGAAAAATGTACTCTGAAATAAAATAGTAGAGCAATAGTCCGCACTGTAATCCTAGCTACTTAAATACAGACTGTTTTATACAGTAAATGCTTTTAAACTGTTAGCAGATAAGCAAGCAGTTAAAATGGTGTATCTTTACATAGTTTCAAAATAAGAAACATCTTTGTGAAACAGTGACGTGAAATTTTGGCATGTAAGTAGAGATTCGATCTGGACCAGGGTGGTGTGATCACTCACTCCTTTATCACTGGTGAGACAAGTCCACGTCAAATTTGGTAGTAACGAACAAAAGGCTTACAAAGCTTAGCTAATACTCAAAATAGATTTAAGAAGTACAAGGTAATACATAAACATATTTTAAAAGATCATCACATACGTTGAAAGATTTTAAATGATCTTACAAATGGAAGAAAGATTTGATAAATTAGGGTATACAATAATGTGCTAAATTACTAAACTTACATCATTTATAGGAAAATGGATGTACCTTGAGACCATAGTGTTACATGAAATAAATCAGACACAAACTTTAATACTAAAATTATTTTTGTTCTTCTTTTTTTTTTTTATTGGTACTGGGGATCGAACTCACGACTGCCTGCTTGCAAGGCAGGTGCTTATGCCACTGAGCTAAATCCCCAGCCCGAAAATTATTTTTAAGAAAAAGAATTCAGATAAGATTTAAAGTTATGAGTATACATTCATATTACACTTTTATGTTTTTGAAAAGCAACGTTAAGATTCATGACTGTAAATTTAACTTGATCTCTTTTATAACTATGGGAAAATATAGGAAAGAAAGGTTGTATCAGAGGTTTTAAAATGGATGAATTTTAAACACCTAGCTTATTTTTAGTGTACATTTTCCTACCATAACATGCATTAGTTAATATAGAAAAGGAAAAAATCAAATATTAAATGATGTATTGAGAGAAAATGAAAAAGGAAAAGCTCCATTTATTCTACCTCTAATATGACTAGATCTTTTATAGTATGAAAGAGTCAACACAATTCTGGAACTGCCTCATTTATGTGAGGAAAAAGTATTCACAAATTGGTTTTGATATATTAAGCAATAAAGTGAGTTGAGGCCAATTAAGTCATGTAATTATAACAAAACATTTAAAGTTTTTCTCTCAATTGTATAATTGTTTATACCAGAATTTTGAGCCTTAAATATGGCTGATATAAGAATACACTGAAGTATCCCTGGGACCGATAAAAATGAAAAAGACAAAAAAAAAAAAAAAAAAGAATACACTGTTTCTAAGTTATGATAATGAATGTCTATAAGCGTGCTCTATCATTTCCTGTTTTACTATTTTGCTTTCTTCATGAATGACAAAGTCACAGAAAATGAATTCAGCTAACCTAAGATGACAATACTTTTTTATTACATCTTCTTATACTTACTCATTTCTTCAGTCATTTCCATTTTCATGTTTTCCTTCTGAAAATTCTGCATTGTTTGTAATGTCTTTTGTGGGTCCATCTTCTTGTTCACTGCCTGCATTGTCTTCAAATAATATGAAAAAAATTCATGTCAGCTATTGTAAGTTTTTATTATGGAATTATACCAGAGGGAACACATCAAATAGAGATAGTATTCTAAAAGTTACATATCCAGTTATAATAATAAAACATAAAGTGTTAAGTACTCTGGAAAAAAATACTTTCTTATATACCATCTGTTTAACATCTACATCATAAAGACGAGTTTCAAAAACTCATCTGAATAGTGTGCAAAAATTATGTGGCAAAAAACATTACCAACATAAAACTCATTGCTATTCAAATGAGAAAACTAAATTCACTTATTATGTGGAAACATGGTAATGAGTAAATTTAAATCAATTTTTAAAATTTACTAATTTTCATTAAAACGTTTATACAGTATAAACACAAAAACATTAAAGAATATATTAGCTTACATATTCTATTAGTATACTTTATATACTAAAGAATTAAAATCATTTTGTAAAAATATGTGAAAACAAGTCTCTTACATTATGTTACTTATTTCAGTAAAAGCGATGAATATGCTTTAGTATGGACAAAATTTATATTTATATGATATATAATGTGAGGAATCACACGCATGTATGTCTTTACAGTTAATTTTATAGAATAGAAAACATACTCCACAAAATCTGTGTGCACAGTGTGGCTGAAGCAAACTTCACACATGGTTTAAATCTAAATTTTTCCTAAGTCTCATGTGTTCTTTGGCAAGGTGAGAGCATCATGGGAGTGCTATCATGACCAGCAGATTAATCCGCTGATGAATTCACAAGAATGTGCTGTTAGGAGGCAGCTGGACAGGCAGGTCACTGGGAGTGTGACCTGCAAGTGACCAATCCTTTTCTCAGCTTCTCTTCTGTCTGTTTCCTAGCTATCAGCGATGTGGGTGACAGCTTTCCTCCATCATTCTCTTCCAAGCTCTTGCCTTGAAGCCAAGCCAACCATGGACAGACTGTCCCAAAACTGTGAGCCAAATTAAATCTCTCCTCTTTTAAACTGCAGGTGTCAGATATTGTTTCGTCAATAAGAAAGCTAGTGCACATCTAAATCCCCTAGTTGTCTAGTGCCTTTCCATTACTCTTAGTATTAAAAGTCACATTCCATAATCTGCCCATGAGCTACAACATCAACTAAAATGTTTAAAAGCAGTGTCATTTGACACTATTGCCCTCTTGGCACACTCATCTTTTAGTTCCTCTCCTGCCATACATTTTTTACTCTCTTAACTGGAGAGCTTCTCTCCACCTGCTTTCACCATCAGTATTTCAGATTTTAGTTTACATATTATTTCTTAAGGAAGTAGTCTAATATCACCTTTTATATATCCCATCATTATAAATGAAAATGTGCACTTGTTTTAAATTATATTGCTTTAATTATAACATATAAAAGTATGAAACACTAATGACAATAATGATGAGGGTAAGGACAGAATAGCTAATACTATGTAATCATATTTTTGTAAACATTTTACATATAATGATAATATTAAAGTTAAATGCTATTTAAAACTGATAAATCTTTGCATTCCAGGTACTACCACTTTCTTTATACTACAAAAGGAGAATGAAGGCACAGAAAGCCTAAATCTTTGTTGAGTTAACACATTTCTAAGAAACTTAATTAATATTTCAATCAGAAAGCTCGACATCAGGTATCTTTATTTAACATATCCCTTGCAGAAAATTTCAAGATGAGTAATCTCATAGCCTACGTGATCTTCAGATAGGATTTTTTTCCTCAAAACAGACACTTAGTTCTGATAGAACAAAAAAAAAAAAAAAAAAAAAAGATGAAAGTTTTGTCAGTAACTATATATTTTTTCACTGTAAAATGACTAAGGTCCATTATTCTAAAACTTTCTCTACTCTTCAGCACACATAATGTGTGTCTATATTTTTGGTACCTTGTATGTGTCTATATTTTTGGTACCTTTGGTACCTTGATGGACACATTCTCCTTTTGTGTGCTTTATAATATAAAACAAATTATAGGGAATCATCATTATTTGTGAATTTCCCATCTGTGAATTTGCCTATTTGATAAAATTTATTTGTAAACTCCAAGCAGCACTTGCTATACTTGCTTTATTTCTTCTCATTGATAATGTGAGCAAAGAAGCAAAAACTATTACTCAACATGAACATTTCAAACAAGATGAGGTCCTGGGTTTTGTATCCTGGCTTTCCGTACATGAGTATCACTGTCACACACACCTACCGTACATTTTTCTCATTTTTTTCAGTGATTTTGCTGTTTAAAATGGTCACCAAGCAAAGCATTAATGTGCTATCTAAGGTTTAAAGCAGAAGCAAACATAATGTGCCTTATGGAGAAAACTGAAGTTAGATAAGCTTTGTTCAGGCATGAAGTACACCATTGCAGGCCTTGAGACCAATGTTACTGAATCAGTTTGGTATATACAATGGTACTTCAGTTTGTGAATGTTTCCCTTTGTGAATAATTAGGTTTACAAACAGATCAGCCATATGAACTCTACACTGGGTGATGAACATGAACGTGGCCATCCTCCCTAGAATTGTGGAATGAATTAAGTTCATGAACCGAGGTACTACTGGGAGATATATATATATATATATATATATATATATTATATTATATTAGTTTCTCTAAACAGAAACACATAAAGACGAGGGTAGATGCAAACCAATTGATGAAAATGTTGTGAATTAAGCCTCAAGGAAATCTAATCCTATATTACCCACAGGAATAATGATACAAAATTTCCTATTTCACAACTTTATAGAACATAACTATTATAAATAACAATAATCTACTATAACATCACTATCATTTAGATCTGGAGCCCTGTAACTGCTTTATGTGCTTGATATTACTAGGAGGGGTGGTATCTTTAGAGGCAGGACACAGGGTGGGACCTAGAAGGATATATCTCCCTCCCAAGCTCCCCCTTTCTCTCTTACTTTCTAGCCACGATGACGTGAGCAGTTTTCCTCCCCCAGCCTCTTCCACCATGCCACTGCTGCTTTGGAACCTACCAATTATGGACTGAAACTTTTAAAACCATGAGGCAAAAATAAACCTCTCTTCCTTTAAGTTGTCCACATTAGGTATTGTGCCTTAGTGAATAGAAAGTGATTCAAATTTGGGTACTGATAGTGGGCTAACTACCAGGAATATACCTGATCCTGTAGTTCAAAAGCCTTTGAAATTGGTTTGTGGAAGGAGCTGGAAATGTCTGGAGATGCTGCCTTATGAAGCCCTAAGGTGCCCAGCTTGATGGGATATTCTGGCTCAATCACAAAAGAAAAGAATGCTGACAGTAACGGCCAGGGTCCAGAGGTGTGAGTTGGGAACAAGCACTCCATTGGCAGCTGACAAAACACCATGTATGCTGTACTCTGGCTGAAAATTCGTCTACATTTTGTTCATGTCCTGAGATTTCCGGGAGACTGCAGTTACTAAAGGAGAACTAATTACTTCAGTGGAGGAAATTTTAAGGCAGCCCAACATATAGGTGTGGCATGAGTACTGATCACTACTTTTGGCCATGCCTACTATTAGGGTCAAAACTAAAAACTGGAGCTGAATAATTTGAAAAATTTTGCTAGTGCCCAAAAAGGAGACACATGTAAATTTGGGATCTGTTAAACTAGGGCTGAAAATACCCATTGTTGCTGAAAAGATTAACATCAAAAGAAGCCATTATTTTATATCAGGACAACAAAAGGTGCCTTGAGGGCTTTTCAGGAATCAGTCCTGAAATTTTCTACAAAATATCCTTCCCAGGTTCAAAGATGCAAAAGTGAAAAGTTATTTTTCAGAAGACAACCCAGTTCATTCAGGGCCCATTAGGAGAAAGTCTCCAAGAGTTGTGTCATGCAGGCACTTAGAGGCTGTTGTAGGAATGATTCAAGAGGGCCTGTTTAGTGCTTAACCTGGGGGCAGACGCTGGTGTCATCCGTGTGATGATGATTTTATAGGCATGCAGAATGCACAAGTTGTGAGGAAGTCAGGAAGGCTTCTACCAGAATTTAGAATAATGCCTTAGGAGTCAAACATTGTGGCCCTGAGAAGGCAGTGTGTGAAGCTGTAAGAGGAAAGTCAAAAGTACAATAGAGATGTCAGACAGGTGGATTATCTACTGAGGAAGGCAAGAGGAAGTGAGTGAGGCTGGCCCAAGAAAGAGGCTGAGTGCTGCAAGCCGTCATGACACAGGGGTGAGGCTGTCTAAGCCTCTGGAAGTCACATCTTAGCACAGCTTGATCCAAGTGCTGGACACAGAGCTATAAAATATGTTTACCCCAGTAAGTTTCAATCTTACTTTGGTTCCATTGTTATCATGCTATTTGTCCCTTTTAGAAGGAGAATGCTACCCTGTGTCATTCTATATGGGCAATATTTAACTTTCTTTTTATTGTTTTTGAAACAGCACCTCAATTTGTAATGCAAGCTAACCTTTAACTCACTATGTAGGCCACAGTGACCTCAAACTCATGACAATTCTCCTGCCTCAGCCTCCTGAACACTGGGATTACAGGCATATGCCACCAGGCTCAGCATTTTTTTAAATTTTACATAGGCTCAGAGCCAAACGTTTGCCTTGAGTTTAACAGGGGACTTTGGACTTGGACTTGTCAAACTGTTAACACTTAAGACTTTGATGACTCTTACAGACAGACTGAACACCTTCTGTATGAGGTGAACATTAGTCTTCTGGGTAACAGGTGTGTAATGTTTAGATCTGAGGAGCCCCCGCAAAACTTCATGTAATGATAAGTTCATAGTTAACTTACTGTTAGGAGGTATGCATGAACAGCTTACGCCCTTCCATATTATTTTTGCCCTTAAGACTACAAACAATGGAATGCAACCTGAAACCATGAACCAAAAATAAAACTCTCCTTTAAGTTGTGGATGTCAGGTCGAGACATGACAAGAAAGTTAATAAGACATTGACTTCTCAAACAATTTTTCTACAGATTTTTTTTTCTTTTGCTTTTCATATTCATACTCACTTTTTTCTACATCAAATCCTTACTGATTCAGTTAACAGCAAAGGCTACAAAGTCTTTCTGTTCAGCACTCAAAGATCTGTGCAGTTCAACCAAGCTTAGCGCAGACTAACGTACAGCAGTTCGTTTCTCATTTAGATCTAAGCTACCCTCCCACACTGTCATGTAAAAATGGGTGGAAGTAGGGCCTTGATTTTAAGCCTCTTTTGACCAAAATATATGATAAACATCAAGGAACTCATTGTTTATTAACTGATTGAAAGGCACAGATTACTTTAAAGTCTATGATTAAAAACACTAGAGAGAGAAAGAGAGAAGAGACAATAAGTTAAACATAGGCTCCTAAAATGTTAAATGACACTTTTGAAAATATTTATGTCCTTCTGACACATACATACAAGTGAATCAATGAAGAGAAATTACTCTCAAGTAATCAGATAATTGTAATGTAATAAAATGAGAATGTGGCAATTTACATAAAAAAGTAAGCACAGTTTTAAGTCACTTTTGTAAATTTGGATGCTACATGTGAGCCTGGGAAAGTGGAAATATTCTGTATTAAACCGTATCAATAAAGAATCTAGACAATTACCAAAGCTATCCAGCATTATAACTTGTTTTACTAAAACTTAAGATTCTGTAACATACATTTACTAGAAAGTGCTTTAAATCTAATTCATTAACAGTTCATGGACAATTAAGTATCTTTCAAAATATGATAAAACCGGGAAAAAGTGCCCCGCTTACCTTTGCTGTGGTGGACATTGCTCCAGCCATCTTCATCTGAGAATTCATCACCTTGGTTTGTGTAGACATAGAAGTCACTTTTGAACTTACTGCAAAAGTTCTTGTTTTCTGTTTCCGCAGATGTACAAGCTGTTTAGCTAAAACTCTACAAGCTTCTTTATTACCAATCTTGGCCATTTTCTTAATCTCTAATTCCTAACAGAGGAAGTAAAAAAGAGGAATGAAATTATTGGGAGTCTTCAATAATGTGTTTCTCAAGAACAGATCTAATATATAAATGAAATAATATTTTGCCCTAAAAGAGAGTACTAAAGAGTCAAAGAGAAAGACTAGTTAAAGAAGGCTACTTATTCCACATGTTCACATGGAAAATGCATAACAAGTACTTTCATCCAGGATTAAAGTCTCCAATTTATGAACCAATTCTGTTCTGAGAAAACATTCATAAATAAGATTTACCTGTAATTCGACAAAGTAAGTCTTATATAGAGTACACCTGTGAATCTCTTATACTATCTCTATGAACATTCACAACTAAAATGTTCATAAGTCAGGAACTTACTGCACAAAGTACAGTACACTACTTTATATATAAGTGTACACATACAGTAATAGTACATATGTACATCCCAGAATATACTTTTTTAAAAAAATCCAAAAAGGTACAAAAAACCAACCGTCAGTGGGACAGCACAAATAAGGAGAAAGGTAGTAGAGTTAAAGCTACTAATATAATTATAGTACATTTCAAGAAATGGTCCATCTTATACCTCAATTTAAAATTAAACTGTAAGATTAGCCAAAAATACAAACCAACTATGCTGTCTCAAGAAGTCAATGTTAAACATAAAGGCAAAGCTGTATAAAAAAGTAGAAATATGCATATGTGTATATATAATAATAATATATGTATATAAATATACACACACACACACAAATCTGGAGTGGGTATAGTAATATCGGATCAAAATATTTTTGAACAAAGAATATTACCAGAAATAACACAGAGCATTTTATAATAAAGGAACCAACACAGGAAGATATAAAAATAATACTAAATGCATTTATGTACAAAAACTAAAAGCCTTTACACAACTCACAGAACTGAAAAGAGAAATAGACAAATGCACAATTAGCATGAGAAGTACAACAGACTTCTCTCTCAAGTATACTGCTATAACTGTTACAATAGTCCTCATGTATTCACAGGGGAGATGTCCGAAGATCTTCAGTGACAGTTGAAACTGCAGACGTACAACACACACAGAGATATTTATGTACATATGTTTATACACGTGCTTATATATATGTTTACAGTATTTTAGTTTTACTATACACATTCATATCTATGACAAACTGTTTCCTTTTTACTTAAAGATAAACTTTAAGGTTTCTCTCATCATATGAGTTGCCAGCTCCTTATTCCTGTGTTTTGAGTCTGTTATTAAGCAAAATAAGGATTATTTGAACATAAGGAATGAAATACTGGGTAACAGAAGAGTTAATCCAAATTGCTACTAAGTGACCAACAGGTGTGTACAATGTAGATATGCCAGAAAACAAGTTGACTCAACTTCCTGGTAGGACAGAGTTGAACAGCACGCAATTTCATCACACTACTTTAGAGTGATGTACAATTTAAAATTTACAGACTGTATATTTCTGAAGTTTCCCATTTAATATTTTCAGAACAGTTGATCATGGGTAAAAGAAACCTTGGAAAGTAAAACCATGGAGAAGAGGGAACTACTGCAGCCAAAAAACCTGTAATGAGCAGCCAGGAATTTAGCTCAGTGGCTTAAGTACCTGTCTGGCAAGTGTGAGGTCATGAGTTCAATCCGTGGTTCAAAATAAAAAAAATAAAAAAATAAAAAAATAAAAAAAATCTGTAATGATATAGAAAATTTAAAAATACTATCAACGATTTAACCTAAATTTAAAGGAATTTATCATGGCAGCAAACTAGACAATCACCAAAATCTCCATATTCTATCTCAAAAATCAGGGTTCAATACAATTAAGACTTTCCAAATTATACCAAGTATGCTCTCTAACCTCAATGCAAATAACTGGAAATTAATAATGAAAATATAAAAGGAAAATTACAAACAGAAACTTAAAAATGTTTCCATATAAGATATGGTTTTAAAAAGCCAAGAAAATGAGATAGTATTTTGAACTTAATAAAATGAAAATGCAACATATAAAATGAGCTGCTGTTAAAATAGTTCTTAGGAAATGTAGCATTGAAAACTTACATTAAAAAACAATGACTACCTCAGAAGCTTTAGTAGAAAAGCAAATTCAATACAAGGCAAACAAAAGAAGGAAATTACATAAAGAAGCAAAGAAAGTTATAAAGTAGGAAAGAAAAGTCAGTACAGAAAATGAGTGAAATAGGTTTTTTTAAGACATCAATTAAGTTGATATACCAATAGACAGATGAAGAGGGGGACAAAAAGTGGAGAAAAACCCCGTAAATCATTACATACAGAGAAGGAAAAGGGCATCACTTCCTGCATTAAAGATGATAAAAGGTTACAAAGGGAACATTATATACAAGACATCATTACATTTTAAAATTTAGTAGCAATTGACAATTAGCTTAACAACCTCAAAATAACAAAGCTCATTCAGTTTGGCAGATAACCTAATCACTATTTTTAAAAAGGTTACAGTTTTAAAATGTTTCTATAAAGAAAATTTTCACTTACAGAATGAATCCATTTAAGAAAGCATACACAAACACTCCCAAGAAAGAAGAGTAAAGGATGCTTGCCAAGCTATGTTGTAATTTAATATTACTCTAATTTTGCAATATGCCCCACAAGAAAAGGAAAATCCATTTCTTTCAAAAATACAGATACGATATTCTTTAACAAAATTTCAACACAGTGAAAATACATTTAAAAATATGTCATTATCAGGTGTGGTGGCGCATGCCGCTGGTAACCCCAGTGCTGAGGCAGAAAGATCGCTGCAAGTTTGAGGCCAGCCTGGGCTATGCAGTGTGTCTAAAGTCAGCCTGAACTGCATAGTGAGACCTTATCTCAAAAAATAAAATAAAAATTAAAAAAAAATAATAGAACAAAAATAAAAAGATCATTATCAATTCATTCCACTAAGAGATTCGTGATGATAATCTACACAATCATTTCAAAAGATGGAAAAAGTTTTACCAAACAAACATTTTAAAAATTTCTATCCTGATTAAAAAACAAACAAAACTCGAGCAATAAATAAGTTGTACAATCTGGAAAATAGCACATACAAAAAGCCTACGATTAACATACTTAATAAAAAATTACTGACTCCTCCCAATTTAGTGAAAAGATAGAGTGTCTCTTCATAGCATTCTATGCAGCACTGCAAAGGACAGTGCCAGTGAAACTGTGGCACACGTGCTGCGGTGGCCCTACAGAGCTGTCTCTGTCACACGGGAGCCAAGTCACCCCAGCATCATCCCAGCAGCACAGCAGCCTGTTACAGCGCCCTGTCAGCACACTGTTGTAAGCAGGTTTTGGGTTGCAATTTCAGCACTCGGTATCTGAAAGATTCGCCATCACTATATGGGAGGTATTAGCTAGTTAAAAAGTTAAGGAAAAATAAGCTGCAAATTACAAAGAAGCAAAGATTTACTTATTCATGATGACATGACCATACAGGAACCAATAAAATCTACTAGAAGGATAGAAGAGTGGTAAGCTTAGGAAGGTTATAGGATTTAAGATAAACATACAAAAATTTAGTGTATTTCTATATATACCAGCCAAAAAACTTGGAAATTGAATTTCTTCTTAAAATGATATTTAGGGGCTAGGAATTTAGTTCAGCAGCATAAGCACCAGCCTGGAAAGTGCAAGGTTGTGAGTTCCATCCCCAGTACTAAATTAATTAATTAATTAATTAATTTTAGAAAATAAAATGACATTTAAAATAAAAAATATTAAGTATTTAGGGTAAATATGACAAAGCAAGCATGAGACTTACACACTTATGGGAACAAGTATGTACAAAGGATGGCTAAGAAAAATCAAATAAGATCTCAGTACATGTATATATGCGTGTAAAATGTTCATATATTGGAAGACTTCTTATTGTAAAGATGAAAATTCTTCTCAAATAGTCTTCATATTCAATGAAATCTAAATCAAAATCTGACCTTTTTGGTAGAAGTTGACAGGCTTATTCTAAAGAAGCACACATAGAAATATGAAGAATCTAAAATGGCCTGAACAGTTATGAAAAACAGTATAAAATTGAATAATTAAATGTTTTTACCATTAAGATTTACTATCAAGTAATAAAAGCAGTTTGATATTAGCTTAAGAATACTCAAATACATCAATGAAATAGTGTACAGCCCAGAAAGTATACACATTGAACAACTGATTTTCCACAAAAATGAGGAGGTGTCAAAAACAAATTATGTTGTAGCAACTTAATTTCCATATGTGAAAACTGAAGCTATTTTCTGATTTCGCACAATAAAAATTCAACATAAAAAAGAAAGAGAAAGTACTACAGACTCTAAGTTAGGATAAAATTTCTGAGGGTACTAAAATTACAAGCCACAGGAAAAACTTGTGAACTTATATAAAACCTACTAATGAACTTATATAAAAACTTTAAAATTAAATTAACAAAACAAAAAACTCCCTCCTCAAAAAAAGCTTAGAAAAATGAAAGACAAAGCCAGTAACTGGGAAAGAATATTTGCAAAATATATACCAGTACTTAATAAAGCATTTATTTCCACAATATCTACAGAACTACTACAATTAAATAATAAAATGAGTTTATGAAAAATATGGGTAAAATATTTAAATACACAGTTTCACCAAGAAGGTATGTAAATGGAAAATACTTACATGAAATTAGTGATTCTGAAAAATATAATTTAAAATGACAATCTACTAACCATCCAACAAAATGACTAAAATTAAATACTAAACTCCAAGTATATAGAATGACTATAATTCTCATGCACTGCTACTGGAAAAAGGAAACACTACAAGCACTTTAAAAGCTGTTCAGCACCTGTGCATATGATTAAATAGAGACTTACCATCTGACCAAGTAATCCCACTCTTAGGAGTTATCCAAAAGAAACAAAAATGAGTTTGCACAAAAACTTCATCTGAATGTATATAGTAATTTTCTTTCCAAAATAATCAAAATAATCAAAATGTCATCTGGTCAGAAAATGGGTACATTGTGAACATGCACAGAACAGAGTAACATTCATAAATAAAAAGTAATAAATAGTGACACAAGTAACCTCAAAATAATTATGCTAAAGTTAAATAAGGAAGAGTTCATATATGATTCCTGCAAGGGTCTAAATTTATTGTGGGCTTGATCAACCATACATTAATTTTCAGAGACGGGGCTTAGAGAGAGAATTGGTGCATGCAGGCACTGACTGCACTGATTAACCCACTGGTGGGCTCCTAGCCGAATGGACCCAGCTGGAGACAGCAGGTCAGTGGGGCTGTCTCTGCTTCTTTCCTTTTCTCAGAAATAGCTTCAGGGCTGCCCAGAGGTGAGCAGGTTTCCTCCAATACTACTTCTACCACGTTTCTGACTTTGCTGGCTGACCAGGAACTGTAATTGTGAGTCAAAATAAAATTTTCTCCTTTAAGTTGTATGTACCAGGTATTTTGTCTCAGCAATGAAAAGATCACTAGCAAATTCCATTTTTATGAAATTTTAGGAAAGCAGTACTCTTGTACAGTAATAAATCAGTGTTGGACTTTCTGAAAAAAAGGGGAGATAGGGAAGGATGGTAGGAAGGATTTGAAAAGGAATAAGGAAACTTTTGGGGATGACAACTATGTTCATTACCTTTACTACAGTAGATTTCAAGTATGCATTTGTTCAATATCTGTAATTTATTGAATATCAATTATACTTTAATAATTCTACTTTTCAAGATTTGAGGCAACATATTAAAAATAGCATAAAGAATATGCAAGATGGACTAGATCAGCCTATTAAAAACAATTCATTGTCACAGACACAATGAACTTAAAGTGTGAAGTACGACAGACACTTGTGAGTTAACATAATTTTTTGTAACCCTCTCTTGGTTACCTTGACTATTTGTTTGCTATAAACTGAGAAAGTAGTCTCAAGAAATACTTCTTCCTAGACACTGATGATTTTTAAAATCAGAAATAATCTGACTATATAAACAGCAAATGTACACAGCATTCTGATAAAAGTCAACACAATGACACAAGGTAAGGAGAAAACTAAAAAGCATTAAATGCTACTTCTTAATTTAATTCACTAACCACCTGCCAGGTACCATTTTCCTATTCTGCTAATTATTTTAACTGTGATTTCCAAATTTGAAAAGTTAAACTGTAATTAATGTTCTACTTACCAGCTGTTTTTCTTGTTTCTCTAAAGCTGCTCGATCTCTGACTATAGCTCTCTGTGTGCCTCGCAACTCTCGATTCTGTTCCTTTATCACATCTAAGAGAACCAAAGAAGAAACCTAAATTTCAAATACTGAACTAAGAGACCATAACAAAAAAGAAACATTGATTTAATAGATGTTATACTTTTCTTCCACTTTAATATATGTTACATATTATAACATGGATTATAAATATGGAGAACTGAATTGACAAATCCATATAAAGAACTGAGAAAACTACAAATGTACTGCAGTTGAAGTTCAATATGTATCACAATAAATATTCTCTTGGAGAATTCATTACCATACAAAATCTCTCTCTCTCTCTCTCTCTCTCTCTCTCTCTCTCTCTCTCTCTCTCACACACACACACACACACACACAACACAACACACACACACACACACACATACATACACATACAATTCTGACTTCCTCTTACTCCAGTAATATATGAACTGTGGAAAAGAAGAAGGGTCATATATTTCTGACAAGGAATTGATACCCAGAAGATATAAGGAATCTCAAAAACTGAATAGCAAAAGTAAATAAATAAATAATAAAAATAGAGAATATAACCTAAGCAAACATCTCAAAAAGACACAGAAATGGCTAACACGTTTTAAAAAATGCTCTTCAGGGGCTGGGGTTTTAGCTCAGCGGCATAAGTGCCTGCCTTGCAAGCAGGCAGTCATGAGTTCGATCCCTGGTAGCGATAAAAAGGAAAAAGAGAAAAAAAAATGCTCTTCATCAGTAATTATCAAAGAAATACAAATTTAAAGCAGAATGAAATGTCATTTCATTCCAGTAAGAAGGGTTTTTATCAATAGAGATAACGTGAGTATGCAGAGAAAACAAAAGTGTTACATATTACTAATAGAGATGTAAATTAGTACAGCTGGGATGGAAACCAGTATGGAACTTGTACAAAAAAATTAAAAAAAGAACCAAGGTACAATCTAAGACTCTGGGTACACAGTCAAAGGAAGTAAAGAGACATCTGCATTTTCATGTTCACTGCAGCACTATATACAACAGACAAGAAAAGGAAACAATCTAATTGTCCATTAAATGATGAATAGATTTTTTTAAATGTGATAAAGCACACAATGGAATACTATTTACCCATATCAAAGAATGGGGCTCTGTTATTTGGAACAACATGGAAAGAATTAAGAGTGAAAGTGAAAGAAACCAGACACAGAAAATCAACTACCATCTGAGCTCCCTCTCGTGGAACCTAGAAATCCTCAGAGAGATTGAAATGTAAATGTAAAGGGTGACAAGAGGTGAGGAAAGATTGAGGGATACTAAATGACAGTTACATAGGCACAAGAAGCTACTGTACACTATGACGATAGATAAGAATACTATACTGCATGTTTCAAAAACATTAAAAGGTTTTCACCTAAAGAAATGTTTGAGAAGACAGATATATTTAATCTTATTTGAATGTTATCTAGTATGCAATGTATTGGAAATTATCACAGTACTTCATTATTATGTATAATTTTTATGTATCAGTCAAAATAAATTTGAAAAATATTGAAACAAGAACTTAAATACATGTATATAAACATTATACCACTATTCACAATTAAAAAAAAAAAGGCATGAACCTAGATGAATAGATAAACGATTTTTGGCATGTTAACAGAATAGAACATTACTGAGCTATCCAAATAAATGAAATGTACAACACGGATGAATCTGAATTACATTATCCAAAAGAGTCAGAAAAATCACAAATATTATGACTATATAATACTTATATGAAATGCCATATCTAGAATAGGTAAATCTATAAAAACAAAAAGCAGTCATAGCTAACACTCTTTTGTGAATGTATTAATAGTGACTGTTCACTTTAAAATGGCTGATGACATATGAATTTCTCTAAACAAAAACAAGCCAAGAAAAGAGGAAGCCAGTATCGTCATCTCTAATTATAAATATAAATTATACCTATAATATCGTATCATAGTTACAATTATTTAATAGTGTTACAGTTATATTCTTGATAATTAAATCAACTATAAGCGTTTCTGATTAAAATTAGATGCCAGAGCTTCTGTATCTTACATATTGTATAAGACATCTATGTTCCCTTTATTTACCTTTTCAATTAATTTATATTGATAATCTTTTACTGTTCATGATTTACTAAGGATGAATTCTATATGTTGCTTAAGAATAGAAGTAACAAACCATGGTGCAGAAGCAAAGGCAAATCTCCACCCCACTCTCTGAAAGTTCACTACACGAAGTAACAGAAATTTAAGACAAAAGGCATACAGAAGTATTCCTGTGCAAAACTTGGTAAAAATCACAGCATATGGAAAAAATAAAAGTTTAATTATCTTCCAGCTCTTAATTACTTAGAAATAGTTTATTATGTGAATATGCAAACACTAGTTTTAAGGGGGAAATGTACTATAGATGGTTTGTCACATTTATTATGTAGAGAATCCTTTAAAAATATCTATTAACACTTCATAGATACCAATGTTTCATGAAGCATTGGTTATGATTCTAACATAAAACAAAATGATGCATTAGTTTGATAGTGTTAAATAAATACTATTGGAGGTCATTGTTTTGGATTAGATGTCTGATCGAGGGCCCAAAAAGTCCAGACTAGAATTCAAAAATGCAATCATTTATACTAATATTCATCTGATATTGTAACAAATCAAGAAGACAATTACCAAATTTTGTAAACAAGCCAATTTCTATAAAACCAATTCTCTCAGTTTTAAAACTTTTGCAGAACAAGTAACCTGGCATAATGACACTGAGAGTAGACCTCAGTATCATTCACATGATGCAAGAGTCGGGGGTCCAGGAAGCTATGAAGCTTACTTCAAAGGAAAGTCTTCAAGGCAAGGAAAGAATCTCCGGAGAAGGTTGTATGTAAAGCTGTGAGAATGAAACCACGGGTGTACTGAGGACCTCAAAAAGTTGGAGATGCCAGGAATATAGAATGACTATCAAGAAATGCTGCAGGCCAGGAGTGGTGCCACCCCATAAGAAAGGCATGGGAGCTGCAGCCAGCTAATCCAAGCCATCATACCTCTCAAATACCAGAGGAGGAGCTACAGAATTTAACATTTGCCCTGCTGAGGTTTGGTCTTACTTTAATCCCATTTCTTTCTGTCTCATAGTCCTCCTTTTGGAATAGGAATGTTTACTCTCTGCTATTGTATCCTGGGATTATTTTACTTTAAAAAAATTTTTACAAAGATTCACAGATAAGACTTTACCTTAAATCTCAGAAGATACTTTTAGTTTGGCTGTCCAAAAATTCTAAAACTTGTGAGACTTTGAGGAAGGGGATATTGCATTTCTATTGTTCACAAGATAGTTTCATCATGCTAGGTAGAATTATTAACTTGTTATTTGTTTATCTGAATAGTATAGTTTAAGGAAATACGTTTGGGTATCAAGTTGCCCAAGGGATTAGCAAAGCACATTTCTGGGTATGTATAGAGGTATGACCTTTTGACACTGTCTATGTTCCCTAGTCCCTTCCTATCTGGCACCTTTACTCAGTCAGCTCAGCTTCCTGGCAACTATGAATTAAGCAGTTTCATCACATCACATTCTCCTTCTCCTTCCATGATGTTTCTGTCTTACAGCCAAGTGACAGATTGATTCCCCTATAATCATGAGAAAAATTAAAACATTTCTTTCTTCAAACCGTGGAGTTGTGGGTGCCTCCTATAGTGGCCCTGCAGTAAAAAGCTAATATGAAAGGCAAGTATGATTAAAAAAAATATTTTTCTCATGAGTTTCTGTCACAAAGGATCTAAAGTTCTTGGGAATATCCTAAATGACAGGAATTAGTTTTTTTTTTTTTTGGGGGGGGGGCTAAATATATTTTAATGGAAAACAAAATACAAAATAACTCTTTCCAGAAAATGGAATTATTTAATATTTTCCCCATACATTAGAACTTGCTTCATCTTCAGGGCACAGCTTGACATGTGCATGCACATTCAGCATTTACCTCGTGATGCGCTCACTTTAGGAGCAAGAGCTGCTTACAGGTCACTCCAAAATCAGACACTAATTCTACCTTGTGACTTACTCCAAATTATTCTTTATCGTAATGGTTTGATTTTGTTTTGTTTCATTTCGTTTTGTTTTTGGTGGTGGATTGAGCCCATGGCCTTGTACACGGTAGGCAAATGTGCTACCACTAAGCTGTACCCCATCCTACCACAATCATTCTTTTCAGGGAAGAGAATTATAGACAGAAAGAATCTTTTTTGACAGGAATGACTTTTATTCATTCAGAACAAGTTCCTTTCCACCAATCTGAGTATACGTTAATATGGGAATAGGGGGTCCATAATATAAAGAAAGAGTTAAGTATCAAAAAGACCAAACATTTAACTAAAGTCTCACCTTGTCTGTGTACCTCTGGGGAATGAAAATTTTGAAGACTGAGTTATAAATCTCTTAACCAAAGAGATTCAGAACTTCACAACTGGTAAAAACATGCATTAGGAAGGTGATATCCAAAGAGGGCATTTGGCTGTTCTTGTGTGATATAATACAACAGAAACAGTAAATGAATCACTTTCCTAAATTGTAAGAGTTATTCTGGCAAATCATCAGCCCTGACATGTACGTTTACCAATACCTGAAGTGTAGGTGGCAAAATGGGACTTCTAAGTGACATCTGAAGTGGGACAGTCCCATGAGAGAAAGGGCAAACCTTAGAATCTTGGACAGTGTCAGAATTAAAATGTATTGCTGGATACTCAGTTGCAGTTCAAGAGTCAGAGAGTACAGAGTAGAAGTGTTACCAAAACAAATGTATCATGACAAAACTGAACAGGAAATCTAATCATAATAGGTTTCATTCTACTTTTCAATTTTATTTAACTATGTATATATTCACTGTTAAAGCAAATAAAGAAAATTAACTACTGTATATTCTCCAGCCTCATAGCTGTTAATAAGACTTATTAATATTTAAACAGTTCCAAGCTATAAACTCAAAGAACCTAATGTTACATACTAAAACATAATGACAACACTTTAAAAC